CCCGCGTCCGATTAAAAACTATGATGATGAGCCGTGGCCGGCCGGAGGGCCGGAGAGGCAAGGTGCAGCGAGGTGCAGGGAATGGCATCGGTAATGAACGCGCAGTGCGTGGCAGCCACGCCGCCTCCCCGACTACAAAGCAGGATGCACCGCTCCGGCCGCTCCTACCTCCACGCGGCACCTTGTCCGTGCAGTACACCTCTTCCATTGCAGCACCTTCTCCACGCTGTATTCTCCACACCTGGTCCGAGTTCCGTCCGTCACGCGGGACCTCTTTCCACCCACCCCATGCAGTGAATACTTTTCTCGCCAACCTCCTGCTTTCGTCGGCGGCCTCCTGTATGCCCGGGCTCCACTAACTCCTCTGTGCTCTCTGTGTTGCAGCGGCGCTGTGCGGAGGCCTGCCGGCCCCGGCCCTGGCGCAGGACAAGTTCTACTTCTCGGTGAGCCCCGAGGACGTCGCGGCCCCCGAGGGCTCGGCCGTGACGCTGCGCTGCGCCGTGTCCGAGGCCCGGGGCGTGACGTACAGCTGGCGGCTCAACGGCCGGCCCCTGGCCTCGCCGGCCGAGGCCGCGCCCCGGCGCCAGGCGCTGCTCGCCAACAACGAGGCCGTGCTGCGCATCGGGCGCCTGGACCGCGTCAAGGACCAGGGCGAGGTGGCCTGCATCGCCACCAACACCAGCTCGGGCTTCTCGCTCACCAGCAGGGCAGCCTCCGTGCAAGTGCTATGTGAGTACAGTACAGCCACCCGCGGGGTAGATCTTTGGGTTGGGGGTGGGATTTCAAACACGCGTTTTTCGTGTTTTTTTGGACGAGGTTGAGGACGGGTGAGCAGGCATTTCCGCCCGTTCCGCGCTGTGCGCAAGGAAGGCTAAGAAAGGGCGCCCGTCCCCACACTACACAGGCGTACCTGCTCCCTCCCCGGCCTCCGCCTTGGCCTCCGCTGCACATCAGCCCCCGGCCCGGCTGAGCCCGGCCCCCTGTGGCCCTCCCTCCCGCCCTCCCGCCGCGCCCCTCCAGACGCAGTATGTTGTGACGGTGATGGGGGTCGGAATAGCAAAGTAGCTCGGTCCACCAAGGCGCCCCCTCGATTCGATGCAAAAATGGAATGGCGGAGCAGGAGCCTGCTTGCTGGTGCTGCTGGGGTCCAGAGCCGGGCCGGCGCGGCCGAGCCAAAGAAGGTCGTGGAGGAGGAGGGGCCGTAGGCCGGGCGCGGCGGCGGCGTGTCGCTCAGGCATTCCTCTGCGCTCGGACGGCGCGACGGGCCGCCCGGGACGCGGGACGCCGGACGGGGCATCAAGAAATCGGCGTGCATCGGGCGACTGCCAGACGTGCATTCCAGCCAGCAAAGCAGCGGCGAATTTGCAGAGGGAGCGCGCTTACACACACCAGCACACGCGCGCGCACACACACGGCCAATATCTAAGGAACCGACAGCCCAAGGGCAGGACACAGCGTGTGTGTGCGTGCGAGCGCGCGCGCATGAAGTATATAAAGGGCATTCGGCATTCTCAATGCCTCGCTTGCACTGGTTGAGGAGGGGGAGTGCGGGGAGGGGGCGACAGCTGGACAGTAAATCAGGAGGGTGTATGTATGTCGAACGAGACAGCCGGCGGGGAGCGCCCCCCGCCCCCTCCCTCTCCCCCTCTCTCTCTCTCTCTCTTCTTCGTTTCTAATCCCTTTACCCCCAAATTGCATTATAATTTCCTCGTGCAATTTTAATAGTATAAGCCGCAATTTAATTTTTCTGGGAACTGATTGAGAAGAACGGTTTGCGAGCGCGCGAAAGGATTTGCTTGTTGCCTGTTCTCTCCAGGCCCGTTCTCTGACCATGGCAGACTCGAGCAAATTGTAGGCAACCCGCCCACACGCGTGCGGGCGGTACAGTATTTGGCCATTCAGCCACACCTGGTTTACAGTTTAACTCAATCCTACAAGAGTATCCCGCGCTTCCTCCTGCTTGTAATTGCTGGCAGTCTGTGTGACCCTTGCCGGCCGGAGGCGGCCGGACCGTGCTCGGCGAGGAGGTGGAAGCTCCTCGTCGTGGGAGCCAAGCTCGGGCCCCGGGTGTGGGGCGCGGGGAGGGTGCGCGGGCAGCGGAGGCCTCGCATGTCCGAGGCACCAACCAGTTTGCCGGCGCGCTCCGCTTCCCTCCGCTACGCACCGCCCTCACGGCATGGCATGGCCGCGAGTGCGAGGGAGAGAGAGGGGGACAGCGGCCAGCGGCGGCGTCCGCGGCGGCGGCGGCGTCCCCTCCAACCGGTACCGTGGGAGACTTGGCCTCCTCCTCCGCCTAGCGGCAACAGGCTGTAAAGTCAGGAGCACAAAGGATCGTGTCGGCGGGGGCAGCCCATGGGGGCTCGACATGCGCGCCCTGCCCGCGGTGCGTGTGCGTGTCCGAGCCCTGCGACGTCACGCCTTCTGACCGGTGTGCTGGCGCCGATGATCGCCGTCCCCATCGCCCTCCAGCCGCGCGCCTATGGCCATGGTCCTATGCTCAGGTCTCAAAAGACCTCTAAGCTGGACTGCTCCGGTCGGTGGCTTCGGCCCGCTAAGCGCGCTAAACGGAACGGGCTGGATTGGGTGCGGCGGCCGGCCGGAAGCACATACCACCACGGAGCTCGGAGCCTGGAGGCCCGGCCCTGCGCCCCGGGTAACTCCAGGAGCTCATTGTCCGCCGCGCGCCCCTCTCTTTGTCCTCTTCTGCCTCCTTGGACCAGACAGGTGAAGGATGTCCAGGATGTCTCGTGCATTGGCTTGCCGGGTTGGGGGGGG